GGGCCTGTGAGAATGAAGCGTGGTGAAAGGCAGAGGGTCCGTTCCTTCCTTCCAAGACTAACTTTCAGCTTTTCTGGCCACTGAGAAAGCTGGAACAGGACAATAGATCCAGGATCTGTGTCCACAGGCACCTCGGAAGCAAGAAAAAGATTTGTCTTCGGTGCTTTGGGTCAGTGTCTGAGGCACGTTGCTGGGGAACCCCTGCAGCGTGCTAAGGATGGGAGGTCACCTCCACACATCCTGCCGGCCACCGCGGCCCCGGACACAGGGACACTCCTCGTGTTTGGGCAACAGTTGGCTCTTAGCACCGTCCCCGCCCTGCACATTTTGGGGCCGTGCTCAGGGCCGGGGTCTAGGGGGATTCCTTTGTGTGGACTAGGACCGAGCCCAGGGGCGAAGGGATGCCCAAAGCCACGCAGCGGGCAGACTGGGGACCGGGCTGCTCCCCTGGGGACACTGGGTCCGGCCAGGGGGCGGGTCCCAGATTGTCCTAGCTGGGCCGCAGCTGGCCGTACGGCAGGAGCTTGCCTGTGACCCGCCACCGCGTCCCTCCCTGGCTACACAATGCCCAGCGAGGCCTCACGTGCCTACCCCTCCTTGGCATGTCTGTCACTTTGCCCACGTGCAGATTCGGGATGTGCTGCCCCGTCCCCCGTCAGGCTCAGAGCCGAGCCAACCCCAGCCGCGGGACAAAGAACAAACTCTGGCCTGACGTGGCAGCATTCTCTCCACGCCCAGCAGAGGGCGCCATTGCCTGCCGTGACCCAGCCAACAGGGCCCTGACGGAGGACAGGCCTCGCCCCGCTTGGGTTCCCAGTTCTGCTGCTCTAGAAACGGGTCCGGACCTGTCCTGAGGAGCAGAAACAGGCGAGTTTCGGCTAAAAGAATAAGAGCCACAAGGACAAGGACAAGGGGCCAGGACACCTGGCAGTCACTGCCTCCCTGTGGGGGCCAGGAGCCGGGCTAAAGCTTTCTTGGATGAGCTTGTCCTGTCGTGGCTGTGGCTCCACGAGGTGGCACGATTTCCGTCCCCTGGGGCCACCTCACAACATCTGAGGAGGCTCTGAGACACTTGGGGCCCATGGAGTCTTCAGTCCCGTCCTCTCTGTGACACCTGCTCAGGACCCACGCGTGCAGAGTTCCACCTGCGGCTCCGTGACTTTCCAGAAACGGAACGGGAGTCGTCAGAACGTCACACGCTCCCCCAGCCCTGTGCTGAAGAAGCCACGTCACTGGGAAACTAACACTTGCAAACGCACATGCTTGCACACACACCTGCACACACAGACATGCACCTGTGCACACACATGCACCTTGTACAAACACGCACACACACGCACCTGTATACACACATGCACGTGCCTGCGTGCACGCGGATGCACACACGTGTGTAGGCACATACACACCCGCGCACACTCACATACACGAGACATGCACACGCACCCATGCACACACGTGCGCATATCTGCACGCACACATGCGCTTGGGCCCACCCTTGCAGTACAAGCGGCCGGGAGCTGCTCTGAGGACGGGATCTCCCCAGTCGCCACGGCTTCCTTCCAGCTCCGACCTACGTGACCCTCGGCCTGCTCACCTGTCTTCAGTCCCAGCACGGAGGGGCTGCGGGAGGCTCTGGGAGCACAGGGAGAAGAGGTCCCGGGGGAGGAGGAAGGACGAGGTGTGTCTCGTGGCAGTAAGGCATGGGGGAGCACTCAGGTGTGCGTGGTTTCGAGGCTCTCGTCCGCACGCCCA